TTCTTACTTGAAAGAACCTTGAAGTGCAACATGCACTGCAGAGAAGAGCTGAGAAGCTCAGGTCGTCCTGAGAGCTGAGCCAGGACGGTGTGGGAGGTTGGCCTTGGGGGCCCTCCCTTGCTGCAAGCTACAAAGAAGCTCGCAGCCTGAGACAGGGCACAGATGCCCTGTAAGGAACTTGAATCTCCTGGAGATACCAGACCGTCACGAAGACCCCCTGCGTCTCGTGATATGACCGTGGTGGAGTGACCTTTGTCTGGGGTCAACGCAGCCCACGGAAGACCCCTTCGGTTGATTGACGACAGGGCCGAGGAGGCTTGGATACCCCCCTCGTGAGTGCTGGCAGAGATCCAACTATCAGCTGCTGCATGCATGAGATGAGGAGAACCTGCTGCCTTAGAAGAAGCTGCTGCCCTGAGAGACTGGAAGGGATCTGTCCTTCTTTCCCTCCTGGACTTTTATTTGGAGGGGAGAAGAGATCTGATCCATTGTAAATACTATATGTCATGGTAGAGATAGTTGTGATTTTGTGTATAATGTGTTATAGTATTTATTTGTACAGTCATTGTAATATATTCCCTTTCCCCCATTCTGAGTCTGGTGTGTTTTGTCTGGAAAAACCCATCTCACATTGGGTTGAGATGCGGGAGGGGGGAATGGAGCTAGGGAATTGGATTTTGGGGTTATCTCAAACCATGACAACCATTTACTCATTCCTGTTGTATAATTTTTAGTAATTAATTAGTTTAATTGATATTACCCTAGTTAAAATTCTGATTGAGATCATACAGACTTCAGTGAAAATCTGGGTATATTAAAACATTGCATAAACAACTATTTCCTCATAGGTGGCTCTACATTTTGTGGCATTGCATCACTGTGTTTGATGGGTAAACTGGAGGAAGTTTTTTCAGAAAAAGAACTGAACAGGATAAGAAGATGGTGTATAATGAGACAGCAAAATGGCTACCATGGACGACCCAACAAACCTGTAGACACCTGCTATTCCTTTTGGGTGGGAGCAACTTTGAAGGTAGTGTACAGAAAACCTACAGGATAATTATTGACCCGGTTTTATTTCTTAAACTATCTTGTGTTATTTGGAAGAATTACATAGTCAGTGCAAATACAAGAATATGCAGAGATTGCTATAAAGGTTTTTCATCTTGAAAAAATGCAGGATAAGGAGGTTTAACAAATTAGTGCTATATTGCTCTACTTATCTGTCTAAATAGACATATTTTAATATTTAAAAATATATTCAAGTTTATATATTACTGTAACATTCTAACTTCTTTTCAGCTCTTGAACATATTCCAATATACGAATTTTGAGAGAAACCGGAATTACATTCTGTCAACTCAAGATCATCTTGTTGGTGGATTTGCCAAGTGGCCAGATAACCATCCAGGTAATTCTGCTTTTCAAAATTATGGTGTCTTTTAAGTGACAAATATATTCCAGCAGTCAAACACCTAAGAAGGGCAAGAGAGGTTTTTTTCCCAGTCTCCCCCAAGTAATGTAAAAAAATGAACCGTAAAATATGAGATTTTCATGATTTGGAGGGAAAGGAATGTAGTTTTTCCTTGTTCAGCATCAGAACAAGTGAGTTGTTGTCATTTAGACTATCACCAAAACAGTATCACTGTCTATTTAGAGCTGGACAAGCTTTTCCATGTGTTTAATGATTCTAATTAAAAATTACACTGTACAGTGGGTATCTTTGTAAAGGGTCTGAGTAAAATATTTCAGAATGTTTATTTCCTTAAGAAATTGATCCTTTGAGCTTATTCAGAAATCTTTGATGCATTTAAAAATACTCAAAGTTTAGATAGTTACATAGTATGATTTACAGACTGTAATTCTGCATAGAAATTATACATAGTATATATTGTCCACAAAAATTGGATTTGTCACCCAGTGTGCAACAAGCCAATAATTACACACTCGAGAGTGATTAATTATTTCCAAGTTGTGCAAGCCTGGGTGCTTGGTGATATTCCACAAATCAAGGACACCAACTATCAAAGCTTTTTACTGTTTATACATTTTGGCATACAAAGGAATTAGTGTTCATTTGCTACAAGTTACATAGTTGTCTCGCTTCCCATGCTAAGTAGTCCACATGCTCAGTCTTTCTCTTCTTTTAGGTCAGTGGGTTTCTTGGGTCAGTTGTCCATGAGTCGGTCATCACAATCTCCCTCTGCTGGAATTACTTTTTACCCAGTTGGAGCTGATTTCATCACAGTTGCTAAATTGACTTTATTAGTTTCTTCCTTATCTTGGGAGTTCTGCCAAATGTCCTTATGGCCCATAAATTCTGCATTCCTTGTGTCCACAATCAGTGGTACATCCTTCTTCCCAAGCTTTGTTTACCTCCCCCTAGGTCTTAGATCATTGAAGCATGTCCAACCCTAAACTTTAACAAGGCAATTCTATCAACAAGTAATTTGTTTTTCTAACACTTGGACATCATTTTTAGAGCTTGTTAGCTACTATCTGTTGTTTCACAGGTTAAATCTCCCTCGTTGTTGATTGGGCTTGAAAGTATACAAAGATTAAACATCAAAGAACATCCTTTCTTAATAAAATTTTACATATTCCACATTTTGCAACAATATGAAGTAGTTATTGGTTGCATTTTAGAAGTGGAAACTGACAATTTAAAAATATGCTAGAATTCAAAGGAGATACTGTAAAGATATGAAAACAAACTTTGTGCCAGTAGTAACGTTCAGTGGCATTTTGTAAAGAGAAGAGAAACAGTCCATAAACTCAGTAAACAAGATAAAAACATAGTTAGAATAAAGGAGGAGACTGATCAGAATCTGCACAGAGATATTTCAGTATGACGTGATTTCATTTTGAAGAACAGTTGACAATTTGTCAGACTGATAATATAGGGCTCATGACATGTTTCCTCTCCTGAAAATCATTTTAGAATTCCTAATGACTAGCTAAATTTGGTGTACATTATGTAGACCAATAATTTCAAGAAAATACTTGTTTTTCTTGATGAACTGTTTACTTATGAGGTTAGGAAGAAAAACACTATGATTAAAACCCCAGTCATGTAAGAATGTCCTCAAACTCTCTTTTAAGACAGTTTAAGATTTGAGGAAGGCAAGACTACGAATAAAGTTGTTTGCTTGATTTGTATGGTGTTCCTGCCCATACACTAGTTTCCTATAGAGCAAGCTCTTCCTGTCTCTTAAAATTTTTTGTGAGAGTAAGCTACTTTTTAACTTTAATGCTCTGGCTGGTCAAAGAAATGGAACAAGAAGACTGAACTAGAGTACTAAGGATTAACTAGATTGTTGCTTTAAGGATGTACAGAAATTTTACTGGTGTGCCAGATTTTTTCTCTCTCTGACAATTTATTGAATAAGTCTTATAAGATTGCATATCTTCTGGAAAAAACTTGTTTGGTGTTTCCTTTGGTACTGTTTGTATTGGGTTCATGTGACCAGGTTTTGGTAACGGGGGGGCTACAGGAGTGGCTTCTGTGAGAAGCTGTTGGAAACTTCCCCCATGTCTGGCAGAGCCAATGCTAGTTGTCTCCAGGACAGACTCACCACTGGACAAGGGGAATTTTAATATTGGGGTTTTTTACAGAAAAAACAACTAAGTTTATACTTTTATGATAAGTGGGTTTATTACAACGTTCTTTCCTTGGGCAGATAGTGATGTAAGTCTGTGTTCATGTTTTGAAGAAAAACAGTAAAAAACTAAATGCAGTTCTAATCTGAAAAATGACTGTAACTGCAGCATCATTTTTTTATGGATCTGTAGTTTCAATGCCATATATACACAGCTGAGTTTCCTACAAGATCAGTCTACTATCTGAAAGTCAGGCTGTCTTTTCAATGCAGTAAAGATTTCCCATTTTATTAATGTCAAGTGTGTGCAGCTCCATTGCTTTCAGAAACCTACTGATGGTTAAACGTACACAGTCCTCTTGACTTCCATATAAATGCAAAATGATGTTAAGACAGTGAGACTGGTATGGGTCATTGTCGGGGTTGACAGAGAACCTGTCAGCAGCCTGGCAATTAGTGACGAGGAATTTAAACAACTTTTAGGAAATATTTACTGTAATGGTGGACAGAACAAACGTAATGCAGCCCAGACCAAAGGTCACCAATCAAAATGTGTATAGTGTCACCAATAGCATGTCACAGCATGCACAGTGTCTTCAGTGTCACCAATAAGAGTGTGTGCAGTGTCTTATGCTTGAGACTTTTGACCAATTGTGTTGTGGCACGATAGTGTACAAAGAGTATAAAAGAAACACTTGAGAACAATAAACAGCTTCCTGATCACCTTGCACCTGGACTATGTCTGACTGATATCTGTGTCGTCTTGACCGTTCCAACATTATCAGCGACATATGGAGACGCCGACGTGATTACAGCGTTGAAGAAGGATTTATCTCCAACTCCGAGAAAGAGTTTGGAGGGATTCCTCTCCGAGAGAGAGGGACTGCCATGACTTCCCTCCTAGAGGGGGAAAGAGCAGAGATTTTCTCTCCTAGAGAGAGATTGGACCTGTGGGATGAGGCACAGGGGGAATGGAGCCCTGTGAAGCTTGAGAGCGAAAAGGTCCAGACCTGAACTTTTTCGAACCCTCATTAGGTAAACTAACGGGGGTGCCACCGGGGACAATATTTTAATGACGAGACAGCATATAACAAAGGAGGAAAGTGTAGTTCTATCTATGTGGAAATCCCTCCTTAACCGAAAGAATGTCAAGGTTGCTGAATTTAATTTACGACATGTGCTGTTATAGTACTGAAAATAAGGCTTTGAAACTACTACGTTAAGTTGCATTTCGTGTGTTTGCCTAACATTTACTCTGTGAGACTTTGAAAGATTTAGAAGCGTACGGGAGGCAACAATCTATGCAATAACTCATATAAGAACTAAAACTCTGAAATGCAGTTACCCAGAAAGATAAGTAGGTTGCCGATGTAACAAATTGTCCTTGAACTACACCTCCAAGCAAAAAAAATGCAGAAAAATTTAATAATTCACTCCCGGAGACCGAAAAGAAGTAAGGACCCCCCTCTCCATTGCCACCGTTGCAGAAAAAACAGTTTTCCCACCAGATAACTCCACCAAGAAAACAACTAAGAAAAGAAATTCAAGTCAAGATATATAAGCGAATGGAGAGGGACAGAGATAAATTAGAACAGTGGGACCTGGGCAGAAAACAAGACAGCAAGGCCCATCCCTGTATAAGCCTTTGAACTTCTTCACAGCCTGAGTTACCTATTTTTTTTGTTAATGTACTAATTGGCTGTTTCAGTCTCACAATGTGTGTAAGATAAAACACAGAAAAATATGCAACAGATCAAGTTTGGTGTCATGGAAGCCTGAAGACGACGATCCCTACCGGGGGGGGGGGAAGAAAAGGGGGGGCAAAAAACTGCCTTCTGATATTTCTGTTAATTCTTGTGTTAACTCTAGTGTCTGTTGAATGTTTTTGTGAACTCACAATATTATTGTTACTGTGTGCGTGTATGTGAAGAAACAAAGTTCTTTACCAGGAGAAAAAGGAAAAACAAAAGTAAAAAGCCCTCCCTTGAAAAGATTCAGCCTTGCCAGGGAGAAAAAACAGTGTGTATTTCTCATGATAGAGACGATCTGTTGCTTGGCAACTAAGCAGGAGTGAAACTCTCCTACTTTGTAAAAATTGCAACTTTGTAACCTTCTGATTGGAGAAAGAAATTGTCTTACAATTTCATAACATAGTCTCACTAACTGTTTTCTGAAATTGTTCATTAAAATAACCAAAATTGTTTTAAAATACATACATAAATGTAATGGAGAAATAGAGTTTTTAAAGTAACTGTGATAAGAAAATTCCAAAGCGTGGGGGGGGG